GTGTGTGTGAGTGTGTGTGTGTGTGTGTGTGTGTTTGTGTGTGTGTGAGAGTGTGTCATGTGTATGTGGGCATGTGTGTGTGTGTGTGTGTGTGTGTGTGTGTGTGTGTGTGTGTGTGCATGCCCATGTGGGTATGCATGTGAGTACAGGTGCCTATGGAGCCCAGAAGCATCTGATCCTCTGCTTTCAGATGGATATCAGCAGGTGATTCTAGTAGCGAAACTCAGGTCTGTGTGCGTTCTTAAACACTGAGCCATCTCTCTGGCCCAACTATGGATTTTTAAAGTACATTTTTAACTTGGAATGCCCTTACTTCTACAGAATGCCATCACAGAGAACACAGGGGGCTTCCATATATCCCTCCCTCCATTTCCCTAGTGTTCACAGATGGTGTCGCCATAGTCTGTCAACTCCAGAAAGCCGGCCTTAGAACAAGACTAGTAATGAATTCCAGATGATGTTAGATTTAACCTGTTTTCCATTTCCATCCAGTCCACAACCAGGATCCATGCTGCAAACATGACTTATCTAGTGGCATAGTGGGCTAGTTTTGTCACTCCCAGCCCTCGGGATAGATGCAGGCTGTAACTCCACACTACTCATGCCCTTCGAATGTCTCCTAAGACAAAAGTACAATTTGTGTCCCAGACCAGATGAAAGCCATAAATAGTCACAGATGTTTACTCTTTCAGACTGTGTGTGTGCTTCTTCTTCATCCATAGCCGTCTGTTTATTTAAATGGTACAGTTTGTAGCAGTCCTTTAAGTATTCAACAAATATTTATTAGGTATCTGCTCTGGGTACATGAGTGGGTACAGAGCAAGTGGGCAGCTCAAACCGACGGCAGTAGGACACAGGGACAGAACATGGGTCAGGATTCAAATAGCTATGTCACCAACCATTCAGTGTGGCCTTGGGCAAGTTCTTCAACCTCTTTGTCCATTAGTTTCCTCATTTATAGAAAGAAGAAAGAAGATTATATAAATAATAGCATCTACTGGGCAAGGTCTTCATAAGGATTAGACAGACAATGCAGTGCGTGTGTGTGTGTGTGTATCTGTGTGTGTGGGTGTGTGTGTGTGTGTGTGGTGTTTTCCTCAATTGCTTTCCACCTTCTTTGTTGAGACATAGTTTCTCACTGAGTCTGGAGGTCACCAATTCAGCTAGACTGACTGAACAGTGACCTCTAGAGATCTTATTGTTTCTACCTCCCACCTTTTTACATGGGTGATAGAAATCCACACGTGGGTTCTCATGCTTGTACAGTAAGCACTTCACTCACTAAGAAATTCCACAGGCCTCTTTTTTTACTTAAAATTTTGATAAACAGCATCATGGAGTTGTCCAGGCTGCACTTGAACTCATTCTATAGCTCATGCTAGCCTTGAACTTGCAGTCCTTCTGCCTGAGCCTCCCCCAAGAGATAGGATTACAGACCTGTGCCACCAGGCTCAGTTGTCATCATTTTAAAAGAACCCCTGCCTTTAAATAGCTGTTTTAGTTTGTGTTTTATCACTGCGATAGACATCTGTGACAAAGTAGGGAGATGTGTTTGGGGGTCACACTTTCAGAGGCTTAGTCTATGCTCACTTGACACTTTTGGGGAGAGGGGCTGTGTGGAGACATTACAGCACAGTGGGGAGCACGTGGCCCTCAAAGCCTCACAGCGCATGGTGACCAGCAGGCAAAAAGAAAGAGGCCAGCCCCCAATTATCCCCTTCCAAAGACCAATTTCCTTCTACTAGGCTCCACCTCCTAAACATTCTACACCCTACCTCCAATAGTGCCACAAGCCAGAGGCCAAATCTTCAACACAGGTACTCTTAAGGCACACTTAAGACCCTGGCATAGCACAGCGGGTGCTATAGCTCTGATGATTCTTGTCAATTTAGCTTCCTTTCATGATGTCACTAGTCTGTTGCTGATGAGGTTCAGATATAACACTCAAATGTGTACTTGGTGGGCTGAACGGAATATGCTGAAAGGATTTGATGAAACTGCAGAAGCGGGAAAATCATTGTGTTTTCACCCTCCTTCTCCTGTCTAAGGGCCTGTAACTCAGGGAGGATTTTCTGAGCTCTCTCTGAAGCATGCCCTAAGACCCTCCTTGCAGAGGTGCCTTTTCTATTCCCATAAGAAAGGAACAGCCTTAGTAGTGAAGATATTAGGCCACAGAGAAGCCTGTGAACCCAAGGAGAAGCCTGTGAACCCCACGGGTCTTGCTATATCCCCCCACTCTATTACTGCCAGACTACACCCAATTTGTCCAGTAATATCTCTCTATGACTGTCTGTACTTTATCAGAAAGTCATTCAAATATACAAGTCTGATGACCTCTTTGTGTCTTCATTGCCTTGAGAAGGTTCCCATGACACACAAACCTTCTAAAC